CTTCTGTCTTGCCACTCTACCCCATAGCTCAAACACTGGGCTATGGGGTAGAATGCGGGAGATTGTTGTCACATACTACACAGGCAGATATTCCTGCAGCTCCTTTAATGTTGGTGTAGGCCTCTTGGCAGCCTCCCAGACCAGTTTTCTTCTCGTCTTTCCACCAATTTTGGAGGGACATCTAGTTCTTGGTAATGTCACTGTTGCGTCATATTTTCGCCACTTGATGATGACTGTCTTCACTGTGTTCCATGGTATTTCTAATGCCTTGGAAATTCTTCTGTACCCTTCTCCTGACTGATACCTTCTAACAATGAGATCCCTCTGATGCTTTGGAAGCTCTCTGCGGACCATGGATTTTGCTGTAGGATGCGACTAAGAAAATGTCAGGAAAGACCTACTAGAACAGCTGAACTTTATTTGGGGTTAATCAGAGGCACTTTAAATGATAACAGGTGTGTACTGACTCCTATCTAACATGATTTTAAATGTGATTGCTTAATTCTGAACACAGCTACATCCCCAGTTATAAGAGGGTCTGTGCACTTATGCAACCACATTATTTTAGTTTTTTTATGTTTACTTCCCTCCCTAAAAGTTTTCTGTTTTTCAATTGAGTTGTGCAGTCTATAGGTCACATTAAAGGTGGAAAAGGTTCTGAAATTATTTATCTTCGTCTCATTGTTTTACATCACAGAAACCTGACATTTTAACAGGGGTGTGTAGACTTTTTATACTGTGTGTGTGTATATATATATATATATATATATATATATATATATATATATATATATATATATAAAAGGTCTATCTGTCTGACAGTGAAAAGGTGAGCACAACACAATTTCTAGGTGAATGGTCTATAATTGATATAATCTTAGTAGCTGTTCTCCAGGGATGCTGACTGCACAGTCTGACATACAGCCAGTACGGGAGAACTTCCAAAACTCTACATGAAATTACAAATATTTCAAACTACAGAACAGCCAGAATTTAAGTTTATTTAAGTTTCATAAAATATTCTGGTAGATGCTACAGTGCAGTACTTTTTTTTTTCATTTGGATATAGTGGTTACAGTTTGTCTAGTGTTTACCACTCTACAAGGCTCTGTTAAAAAGATTTCCCCTCTGAAACGCAGATCAGTAGGAGGCATGGGTTTTCCCAACTTAAGAGATTGCTACACGGCGTCTCTTCAAGACCAACTTAAATATTGTTTTTTACCTTCGCATCTGAATCATTGGCGTTCATTGGAGAGTAACCGGGTTTCATCCAATCTTTATAATTTGTTACTGATTAGTAGGGATAAAAGTCCAGCTTATTTTTTAGATCACCCAACCATCTCTACTACAATACAAGCATGGCAGGAATTTAATAAACTCTGTACCACTTCAACTAATTGTAAACAAATCCCTGTCCCTCTAAACTCTTTTTTTAACGCCAGACATTTCATTTACAAAATGGCCTCATTACTATTAGTGACATTTCGAACTAAAAATGACTTTGTTCATTTGAGGAACTAGTTTGAGAATATTCCTCACCAAAATAAGAATTACACACATATATGAATGGGGCCATGTATCATGAGATTTTGAGTGTAAACCTCCTTCCATCAGCAAGGGCATTGAAGATGAAACGTGGCTGGGTCTACCAACATGACAATGATCCCAAACATACCACCCGGGCAACGAAGGAGTGGCTTCCTAAGAAGCATTTCTAGGTCCTGGAGTGGCCTAGCCAGCCTCCAGATCTCAACCCCATAGAAAACCTTTGGAGGGAGTTGAAAGTCCATGTTGCCCAGCGACAGCCCCAAAACATCACTGCTCTAGAGGAGATCTGCATGGAGGAATGGGCCAACATACCAGCAACAGTGTGTGCCAACCTTGTGAAGACTTACAGGAAACGTTTGACCTCTGTCATTGCCAACAAAGGATATATAACAAAGTATTGAGATGAACTTTTCATATTGACCAAATACTTATTTTCCACCATAATTTGCACATAAATTCTTTCCAAATCAGCCAATGTGATTGTCTGGATTTTTTTTCTCATTTTGTCTCTCATAGTTGAGGTCTACCTATGATGCCAATTACAGGCCTCTCTCATCTTTTTAAGTGGGAGAACTTGCACAATTGGTGGCTGACTAAATACTTTTTTGCCCCACTGTATAAGGCTACTTCATTTTCTACAGAGCCAAAATATTATAACATTAATGGTCCCAACCAAAGCATGGTCTTACTGGAATTCGATTGATCTTAAAAGCGAAGGGCATTTCTTTATTTTATGACTTGCTCCACGCTAAATCAACATTTGCTAAAACTCCACAATTACTTCAATGGGAAAGAGATCTCAATTGCTCATATACTGATGCCCAATGGGAAAAAAGCAATTATTTGTAACTACCAATATTCCAGATGCTTCAACTATTGGGAGATGGCACAGAAAATTCATTTGAGATGGTATTTTACTCCTTATTTGTTAGCAAAAATCTCTCCTGAAGCTTCCAGTGATTGTTGGAGGGGATGTAGGAGTACAGGTACATTACTTCATATGAACCGGTGTAAGGGTACTGTCCACGGCAGAAGTTCTGGCATTTCTGCCAGTACTCTACATGGCCGCAGAAGTACACATCAGCCTCAGTCTGGTGCCAGACAGCCTTTATAAGGAGGTTCATCACTTCCTCTAGTTGCTGGATGATCTATAGCTCTCCGTGCCCTGTTCCTGTGATTCTGACTTGTGATTTGCTGTTACTGACTCGGCTTGCTCCTGGACCTGTCTACTCTGATTTACCCCTGATCTGACCTCGGCCTGGCTTACGGATACTCTCTCGCTCCTCTGTCAATGACCTTGGTTATCCCATCTGACTACGTCTGCTCTGATTCTCACCTGGTACCTGACCTTGGCTTGAACCGACTACCCAGGAAACATCTAAATCCCGGAAGGGCTTGCATACCACGCACAGGCGCCTCCTGTCTGCAGACCTATCTCCGTGCACCAGCTGTGCTTCTGAGTGGACCACCAACCAGCACTCCTACAGGTGACCTGTGCAACTTTGGGCCAGACTCCCGCTGTCCCACTCTCAGGGGAGTCCGAAACTTAGCCGCAAGGGAAGCCCTCTCTCCATTGACCTCCATCACCATGTATGTGATATCCAGTCTTGTCTTCATCTTCGTAGCTTTTGGGCCAAAATATTTAAACTACTGTCTCATGTAACAGGATTTATAAACTAAACTAACAGTAGAACTAGCCATCCTCAGTATCAACATTACTCAGATTCCTATACCTCTTCGACCTATCTTTATGCAGGTCAGCTAGAGCAAAATTAATGAGAAAAGAGAAATCTAATGAAGTCCCAAATGTGAGAGAAGCAATTAAACAAGTAAATTACAGTTCCGAATATGAACAAATTATGGCATTTAAAGATGGTAAAGTTGCACAACTTGATGCTTATCGGAGGGCGTGGAGATCCTTTCACAAAAGCCCTTAATCCAATGACACACTACTGCTATACTGTAGTTTCCCCCCACTGAGTATATTTTCTCTTTCTGGGTTTGGTTGAAACAACTCCAAGTTACAAATGGGTTACCTGTAATAATATACAAATTTTTTTGGAAAATAAACCATTAAATGGTACCCACTTATAAGATGTGAAGTAACAGTCTAACTAAAAGATGCTTTATTCATTTTATACAAAAAGGACATTATATGTTTTTTCAATATGAATGTTCACTTGCAATGAATCATATTCATACTTATATTTATGACTAATGTTGTTAATTGAAGTTAAATTATAAGAAATGTCTTCGTGTTCCATATCTTTTTAACATAACCAAGATTTCTTTGTAAATCCTCAATAAATATTATTATTGAAGAAAAAACAAAAAAACAAAAACGTACTTCACTTAACGGTAACAAGTTTCATTAGATGGCAGCACAGTGGCTAAATGGTTAGCACTTCCGCCTGGCAGTACTAGGGGTCATTGGTTTGAATCCCAACCACGGCACCACCTGCCTGGAGTTTGCATGTTCTCCTGTGCATGCGTGGGTTTCCTCCCACACTCCAAAGACATGCTGGTAGGTTAACTGAATCCTGACTAAATTGGCCATAGTATATGAATGTGAGTTAGGGACCTTCGTTTGTACGCCCCTTGAGGGTTAGGGACTGATGTGAATGTACAATATATACGTAAAGCGCTGCGCAAATTGATGGCGCTGTATAAGTACCTGAAATAAATAAATTAGATGGGGAGTAAGAAAATCTCCTTTTTCTGTGGAAGATTTTTCCTAAACCTCCTGTATGGTAATACCATTGTCACCGGCACAGAGAGCAAGGTGAAATCTCTCCCTAATGAAGTCATGAGACCCAGCATGAGTTCTAATCCTTCCCCACTCTACCCAAAACTGAAAATAATAAATGTTTTGGCTGAACATACACTATAAGCTGTACTGTATTATAAATATGGAGGGGCAGCACATCAAATACGTAGTTAGCACTCTTGGCTTGAAGCTCTGTATTCTAGGCCTCATGCACATGGGCTTATAAAAATAGGCAGCATATTTTCTGCCACAAAAAAAACACCTCTAATTATACAATATGTATGTGCATTTGTTTGATTATGGCATTTGAGAATAAATGCATTCTGCTGGCCAGAATATTAATTTATTCTGCCACTGGAATACATTTACCTGCAAACGCCAGTGTCTGAACACTTTTTTCTGCTCAAAAGCTCCAAACAGAATGCATCTTTGGTGGGTTTTTTTTCTGCCTGTAAAGGCTCCTCTTGAAACAAGGCTGTATACACCAGTGTGTGCATGGGCACATAGGCTACCATACAGATGCTTCTACAGGCATAAAAATCCAACACACCCAATGCCTGTATAAGTGGTGTTTTTTAGGCTCTGGGTGTCCTTAAAGCGGAGCTCCACCCAGCAGTGGAAGTTCCGCTTTAAGTCTTTGTCCCCCGCTCCCCATTAAGGATTGGCACCTTTGGGGAGCGGGTACCCGAATTTGACAGGTACCCGCTCCTCATTCCGCTGTGATCGCCTAAGGGAATTGAGAGCGGAAGTTGTCCTCCCCCCCCATGTTTAGCACTTGAGCGTTAATTCATTTCAATGGCCAAAATATTATTGCTGCCAGGGAAATTAACTAAAGCGGAGTTCCACCCAAAAGGGGAAGTTCTGCTTTAAAGATTGGTCCCCTGCTCCCCATTAAGGATTGGCACATTAGGGGGGGCGGGTACGTAAATTTGACAGGTACCCGCTCCCACTGCGATCGCCTAGGCGATTGGAAATGGAAATTGTCCTCCTACCCTCCCTCCCTGTAGCCTTCTGGGACACATGACAGGTCCCAGAACACTTCGGGGCCATTCACAAAGAGCAGCGCTTCTTGCGCATGCGCAGTGGGCACCCGGCTGTCAAGCCGCAAGCTGTCACAGCCTGGTGCCCACACTAAAGATGCCGGCGCCAGGGAGAGAAGACGGCTGGTGGTGAAACCAATGGTGGTGAAGACGCCGCTGGAGACTGAGCGACAGGCAAGTGGCTATATTTTAAAAGTCAGCAGCTACAGTTTTTGTAGCTGCTGACTTTAATTTTTTTTTTTTCAGGTGGAACTCTGCTTTAATCCCATCAGAGAGACAATCTGCATGGAGTATGTTCTCCTTGTGTTGCAGGCTTTCAAAATCACTGAAACCATACTGGTAGCAGAACTGGTATCTGACCATTCTGGCCCAAGGATCTATGGTAAGGCTCAGGATTGTGAGCTATTCTTGGTCAAGGACTGAAACGAATGGTCCTATGAACTTTGTATACAAATAAGAAATAAACTGTTTAAAGGAAGTACTTTGTGGCATAAAAGTCTACCAGCATTACAGCAGTGTTCTGTGCTTTCTGAAAAGCTGTGGATCCCTCCTGCTCTTAGCTAAGCTGTCTCTTAAAGCTTCATAAAAAAAAAATAGTGCAGCGCTATGGGTATGATGTAGGTCAAAGCAAGACTAAAAGTCAAAATGTCTAAACGCATAATATCACATGCAATAAGTCAAGGCAAGAAAAAAAATTATATAAAAATAGTTCCGTGTTTTCATTAGAGTCTTAAAAAAGTGCTTTTCTTATAAAACCGTGGTGCTGTTCCAAGTAATATAGGGGGACTGTGCACTCACCAGATGCACAATAAAAATGTGCATTGAACAAAGATTCACAGAAGCTTCCTTCAGGATCTGGTCTGGAATAGGGGAAGTTGTCCTCCCTCTGGATGATTGGTCTGGTCAGGGACAGCTGGAATGAATCCTCCCTCTAGGTGGGTAGTGACGGTGGGAACCCTCAGGGTGGTAAGAAGAAGATTCAATAGGCTGGAGGTCCTCTTAAGGGATAGATGGATGTATGTCTCCTGGGTGTAGGATCTCCTTTCTCCAAAATCTTACAAAGAGCTTCCCTTCAGTGATGTGTTGTCCATGCTCCCCCTCGTCACTCCTTTGCTGAGGTCTCCATCTTCTCCTGAAGTCTACTCTATTGAAACTAACACATGAATTCCACCAACTTCCTGCACTCACTTCCTACTTTCCGAGTATCAAGTGGAAGGGTTTACCTCAGTAGCCAGTGTCTCCTATACAATACTCCTCTCTGACTTCCTCGTATCAGTCCTGGGCCAGGACTGATACGAGGAAGTCAGAGAGGAGCATTCTATAGGAGACACTGGCTACTGAGGTAAACCCTTCCACTTGATACTCGGAAAGTAGGAAGTGAGTGCAGGAAGTTGGTGGAATTCATTCCAGGTGTCCCTGACCAGACCAATCATCCAGAGGGAGGACAACTTCCCCTATTCCAGACCAGATCCTGAAGGAAGCTTCTGTGGATCTTTGTTCAATGCACATTTTTATTGTGCATCTGGTGAGTGCCCAATCCCCTATATTACTTGGAACAACGCCACGGTTTTATAAGAAAAGCACTTTATAAGACTCTAATGAAAACACAGAACTATTTTTATATAATTTTTTTTCTTGCTGTGACTTATTGCATGTGATATTATGCGTTTAGACATTTTGATTTTCTAGTCTTGTTTTAACTGACGTGCTATTGTGCGTTTAGACATTTTGACTTTTAGTCTTGCTTTGACCTACATCATACCCATAGCGCTGCACTTTTTTTTTTATGAAGTTTTATTAGGGTTTTCACTTGGTTACCTTGAGTGTCCAGCAGCTTACCCTTCAAGAGCGCTCACTTTTATACCATTTTTTACATGTCTCTTAAAGCTGATTCATGTTATCCCTTGAATTGATTCTGTTGTACATATGAATGGTATTTAGGCAGTTTGCAGAAGGAGGCCAGCACCAGAACTGATGCTCATTCACAGTCCTATGAACACAGATATTATAAATGAACCTGCAAAGCTTTTGGCTCTGCAGAGGAGTGTTCCCCTGAAATGATATAATACGGTAGGTGTGTGAGACTCTCTAAAATGGCTACATAATAGGTAGGTAAATCAACTATTATAAATGTACTTCAGCAGTGCATTTAGCAGCATTTCCTCCTTACCAGTGACAGACGGGGATCGGGGGAAGTATAGGGAGCCCCGTGCCTTGTCTGGACTGAATATGGGGCTGGTAGGAGGCTGGTCGTAGAGCGGCAGAGGAGGGAGGGACGTCTGGGGTTTCGGTAAAGGAGATACCTGTAAATGAAGAGCAATCATGGTTTCAGAAAGACACTGCTAATGTAAATCCTGAACTTTTAATCAAACAGGAACACAAACAGGAGTAACACAGTTATTAATGAGGAATTACGTATCAACACAACGCTACAGGATTTCATCTTTTTTATTTAAAGTGGATCTTCAGCCCCCAAAAATCAATATGGGTGTACCTGGCTCCTGAAGCCCCCTCCCTTTACACACATTTTTTGTGCTGCATGGCAGTACTTCCTTCTTTCTTGCCTAGGCGATAATGACATTGCAGAAACATGTGCAGATGTGCTGGAGGGCTCTGCCAGGCTTTGGGACCCTGCAGAGACCATCGACACATCTGTGCATGTGGGCACAACTCAGGGCATGGGCAGGTGCGCCACAGGGCTTTGCCAAGTCCAAAGGCTGGGCATAGCCCTTTGGCACATGTGCGCATACACCAGACAAATTAAAATGGTGGCTCCAGTGGAGAAGGGTTGAGCCACCATCAAGGGGACTGAAGTTCTTCTTTTAGGGCTCTTTCATACGGACATTCTGATCAGGTCCACATGCCTGTTTTTCAGGTGGACCTGATCAGAACCTCCATTCTACTCTATGGAGAGGCGGGTGTAACTGGACATGTGTCTGTTTATACCCGCCAGCATCCGATCCACAAAAAAGGAATGAATGGGGATCCAATTCCCCTTCCTTCCGTCTGTCTTCATCCAGCCACCCATTGAGGAGAGCAAGCAGCTCTGTGTCTGCTCTGCAGCAGCGGAGCAGACACAGAGCTGTCATCTGCTTGCTCAGCGTGGATCAGCGGAGAGATCCCCGTTGAGCAAGTAGATCCGCTAAACGGTTCTGCCACGTGTGAAAGGACCCTAACTTAAATCCAAGAGGCTGCTCTCAGTTAATGCACCCAGTCATTGGTATGCAGGTAAGAGAACTGGGCTACATGGCTGGTCAGAGTTTGTAAAAGCCACAAATAAGCAGTAAATGTAAAAAAGAAATTCTCAAATTTGTGTCAAATTTTTCGAGAATGAAAGTTGGAGCCCTGTGACCCTAAAATACAGGCTTGACATGTCTGCTATAACAAAATGATGCCTTCAGTAGCAGATATAAGACAAGGAAATTTGGCCAAACAATGCCACATCCCTATTAGATTAGAGAAGGGAGGACTAAAAAATCATGGCGGGATTATAAAGGCACCACACAAGCTAACAAATAAAATAATAAAGTTTATTTTACATCAAGAAAATTATAAAATCAGAATCTCTTTACATATTCAATAAAAGCTTTTTCCACACGGAGGAGGGTTCTCTCCTTGCTAAAACAATTTAAACTGTGTTCGGGTTAACAATATATATGTACAGTGGGGATCGAAAGTTTGGGCACCCCAGCTAAAAATTTGTATTAATGTGCATAAAGAAACCAAGGAAAGATGGAAAAATCTCCAAAAAGCATCAAATTACAGATTAGACATTCTTATAATATGTCAACAAAAGTTAGATTTTATTTCCATCATTTACACTTTCAAAAGAACAGAAAACAAAAAAATGGCATCTGCAAAAGTTTGGGCACCCTGCAGAATTTATAGCATGCACTGCCCCCTTTGCAAAGCTGAGACCTGCCAGTGTCATGGATTGTTCTCAATCGTCTGGGAAGACCAGGTGATGCCAATCTCAAAGGTTTTAAATGCCCAGACTCATCTGACCTTGCCTCAACAATCAGCACCATGGGTTCTTCTAAGCAGTTGTCTAGAAAACTGAAACTGAAAATAGTTGACGCTCACAAAGCTGGAGAAGGCTATAAGAAGATAGCAAAGCGTTTTCAGATGTCAATATCCTCTGTTCGAAATGTAATTAAGAAATGGCAGTCATCAGGAACAGTGGAAGTTAAAGCAAGATCTGGAAGACCAAGAAAAATATCAGACAGAACAGCTCGCAGGATTGTGAGAAAAACAATTCAAAACCCACATTTGACTGCACGATCTCTCCAGAAAGATCTGACAGACACTGGAGTTGTGGTACACTATTCCACTATAAAGAGATACTTGTACAAATATGGACTTCATGGAAGAGTCATCAGAAGAAAACCTCTTCTACGTCCTCACCACAAAAATCATTGTTTGAACTTTGCAAATGAACATATAGACAAGCCTGATGCATTTTGGAAACAAGTTCTGTGGACCGATGAGGTTAAAATTGAACTTTTTGGCCGGAATGAGCAAAGGTACGTTTGGAGAAGAAGGGGCACAGAATTTAATGAAAAGAACCTCTGTCCAACTGTTAAGCATGGGGTTGGATCAATCATGCTTTGGGGTTGTGTTGCAGCCAGTGGCACAGGGAACATCTCACGAGTAAAAGGAAAAATGGATTCAATAAAATTTCAGCAAATTTTGGATGGTAACTTGATGCCATCTGTGAAAAAGCTGAAGTTAAAGAGAGGATGGCTTCTACAAATGGACAATGATCCTAAACACACCTCGAAATCCACGGGGGATTACATCAAGAGGCGTAAACTGAAGGTTTTGCCATGGCCTTCACAATCTCCTGACCCCAACATAATTGAAAATCTATGGATAGACCTTAAAAGAGCAGTGCGTGACACACAGCCCAGAAATCTCAAAGAACTGGAAGACTTTTGTAAGGAAGAATGGGCAAAGATACCTCAAACAAGAATTGAAAGACTCTTGGCTGGTTACAAAAAGCGTTTACAAGCTGTGATACTTGCCAAAGGGGGCAGTACAAGATATTAACTCTGCAGGGTGCCCAAACTTTTGCAGACGCCATTTTTTTGTTTTCTGTTATTTTGAAAGTGTAAATGATGGAAATAAAATCTAACTTTTGTTGACATATTATAAGAATGTCTAATCTGTAATTTGATGCCTTTTGGAGATTTTTCCATCTTTCCTTGGCTTCTTTATGCACATTAATACAAATTTTTAGCTGGGGTGCCCAAAATTTCGATCCCCACTGTATATACCAGCATATCAATTAGTTTACTCTACAAGCTCCACGTGTTTAATGGAGTATCTCCACTTCATCAGGAGCTGCAAGGGGAATGGATGAATATTTCAAAATGCATACCACAACTAGGGAGATTCTCAACTAAGACCCACACGGGGAAGTAAAGCAAGAGACAAATCCCACAAAAGGGGCCAACGCACAGGACAAGGCCACACGCAGGTAGGGCTAGTTGCAATTAAATTGGATTAGCAAGGTCACAATGTTTTTATAAAGGCACCAAGTCTTCAGGTGATGACCCAAAATTCCTTTGCTGCGCACTGTCTTTTAGTAAACGTATTTACCCAAAGAACCCCCAGTGGGACTTTAATGCAGAAATAGGATCATACATACACTGAAAAAGACATTTGGTTAAAAAAGATTTTTATCAACTTTATACATACACATTTCCATTGTAATGTTAAATACATGATTTCTAAAAAGAATATTGCTATGACAGACTCAACCCTTTTGGTTATATAGTAAATGTATTAGACTACCATCTTTATATTGTAAAGCGCTGAGCAAACTGTTGGCGCTATGTAAATCCTGTATAATAATAATATAGATATTTTATCTGATAGTGATTTTTCTTATTGATATTTTTAGAAGCCCACAGATAAGTTTCCACAAAATCTTCAAGATAAAATAAAACCACTCAAGATCCTGCCATGGTACAAAGCCAGAATCCTGTTAGTTATTAGCCACAGATCCTGTGTGCGAGTTAGTTGCAGTAGCAGACATAAGACAGACAGCAAATGTCGTCTCACCTGAATGTCTTCTATCCACTGGGAATCCCCGTTCTCAGACCCCGCCAGCTCTTCCACCAACACTGATGGAAAAACGCCAACGCGACCGTTGAACTCTCCCTCCCAGAAGCCGTCATCGTCCTGGTTCTCCTTGTTCAGGATCCGGATAATGGCTCCTTCGGGAAATGACAGCTCGTCTTCCGTCTGGCCGTCATAATCATAAAGTGCTTTCACGAAACACACTGGGGAAACAAGAGGAGGGAAAGACAACAGACTGAGTTTGTAGAAAAGATAAATCAGCAACAGGATTAAATACCACATTCTTGTATATTCTCTTTTCTACCCTATGATTCAAACATAAATCATCGCAGTTAAATTGTTGCATAAAAAGCTTAAAGAAGAGCTCTTATGGTGATTAAAAAACAAAATACCAGTCAGTAGATTAATGCATAATTACCTTTCTTAGCCTCTCCAATGAACCGATAATATATTGTGTAGAAAATTGTTTCTTTAGTGATAGTATTCCTGCTTCTCTGCTCCTCCCCTGATAGAAGCCCGATTTGTGAGTGTTACAACTGTTGAGAGGTGGCACAGGCCATTTGTTGCCACCCCATTTTCTGAGTGCACGCTGATGTCATTTCAACAGATAATGCTTGGAAGCTGCTCACAGTGGTGGGACATGAGCCTCGCTCTAACACCTCGTCTGCTCCAGTAACAGAATTGACGGTGACGGTGCGCAAAGCACAGGCAGTGCTATGTGTGTGAGCATGTCTTCCTTGGTGAGGGGTTTTTTCTTTCCCTGGCACTGCAGCTGACACGTACAAATACTTGTTAGCTGTGTGGTCGAACAGTGGTGGAGAGAGGGGGTACGCTGTTGACCGCGTTGGCACAGGATCAACACCGCCTAGGAAGATGGGGCAAATGAGGTGTTAAATGCACCATCTTGTCCCTCAAAGAGGCAGGAGCAAATCAGAAAAGGTTTGGTGAGACTTCGGTATGCAAAACCTAACAATGAAGTTATTGCTCTCTTTTGGTCTGTAACATTTACCAATGAAAGCATTTTGTTATGTCTGTTCTATAAGTCCAGAAAAATACCTTTTGATCCTGGCACAAATATTGTGGGCTGATAACTTCCTGTGCCGACTGTATTACTCAGTTTTATTCCCAGTGATCATCTGTACACTACAAAACAACCCTCTCATGTTATGAAGAAGGGGATGGGAGGTGATTTGTAGTCTTGTCCTAGATATACAAGACTACTCCTTCATAGATGCAGCGTGAGAGTGTTGTCATCCTATGACCAGAAGAGTGTTACACTGCAGGACCATAAGATGGGGAGACAAAAAGGTTAAAATCACTGTGCGCTAGAGAAGCATTTACCTGGTTTTGACGGACTAATATAGTTAATATGAATATATTGCCACTAATATTTTATCTTCTCCCCCCCAGTGCAATTTCCACCCAGGTTCTTACCTGATCTAAGAACCAGTTTTCTGATATATACAGTTGTGCTCAAAAGTTTGCACCCCCTGGCAGAAATTGTGAAATTTTGGCATTGATATTGAAAATATGACTGATTATGCCAAAAAATGCTCTTTTATTAAAGGATGATGATCATATGAAGCCATTTATTATCAAGTAGTTGTTTGGCTCCTTTTTAAATCATAATGATAACAGATATCACCCAAATGGCCCGGATCAGAAGTCTCCGCCCCCTGGGATGTTTGGCCTTGGTACAGACACACAAGGTGACACACACGGGTTACAATGCCAATTAGAGGTTAATGTCCCACATCTGTGGCTTTTTAAATTGCAATTAGTGTCAGTGTATAAATAGTCAATGAGTTTTCTGGCTCTTACGTGGAAGCACTGACTAGGCTAGATACTGAGCCATGGGGATCAGAGAAGAACTGTCAAAAGTCCTGCGTAACAAGGTAATGGAACTTTATAAAGATGGAAAAGGACATAAAAAGATGTCCAAAGCCTTGAATATGTCAATCAGTATTGTTAAATCACCTATTAAGAAGTGGAAAGTTCAGGGATCTCTTGATATCAAGCCAAAGTCAGGTAGACCAAGAAAGATTGCAGCCATAACTGACAGAAGAATTGTCCGGGATTCAAAGAAAAACCCAGAGGCAACCTCAAAAGAAATACAGGCTGCTCTGGAAAAAGATGGTGTGGTTGTTTTTAAGGAGTACAATATGGTGATACTTGAACAAAAATGAGCTGTTTGGTCAAAGTGCCAGAGAGAAGCTTTTACTGCACCAATGCCACAAAAAATCCCAGTTACAATGTGCCTGACAACACCTTGACATGCCTAACCGGGCCTTTTTATGTCATTGATGAAGTAAAGGCTTCTTTCTGGCACCTCCACCATGCAGCTCATTTTTGTTCAAGTGTCATCATATTGTGCTCCTTCAAAACAACCGCACTGTCGTTTTCCAGAGCAGCCTGTATTTTTCTTGTGATTACCTATGGGTTTCCCTTTGTATCCCAAACAATTCTTCTGGTAGTTGTGGCTGCAATCTTTCTTGGTCTACCTGTACTTGGCTTGGTATCAAGAGGTCCCTGAACTTTCTACGTCTTAGTGGAAGTGCTGACTGGCATATTCAAGGTTTTGGACATCTTTTTATGTCCTTTTCCATCTTTATAAAGTTCCATTACCTTGTTACACAGGACTTTTGACAGTTCTTTTCTGATCCTCATGGCTCAGTATTTAGCCTAGTCAGTGCTTCCACGTAAGAGCTAACAAACTCATTGACTATTTATACACGGACACTAATTGCAATTTAAAAAACCACAGATGTGGGACATTAACCTCTAATTGGCATTTTAACCCGTGTGTGTCACCTTGTGTGTCTGTACCAAGGCCAAACATCCCAGGGGGCGGAGACTTCTGATCCGGGCCATTTGGGTGATTTCTGTTATCATTATGATTTAAAAAGGAGCCAAACAACTACTTGATAATAAATGGCTTCATATGATCATCATCCTTCAATAAAAGAGCATTTTTTGGCATGATCAGTCATATTTTCAATATCAATGCCAAAACTTCACAATTTCTGCCAGGGTATGCAAACTTTTGAGCACAACTGTATTTGGACCGAAAATCCAGTTAGAGTAAAAAGATTCATCCTTACCCTAACTAGGCTAAAAGGAGGAATAGGCTTCCCAGATTCTGTCAAATACCACAAGGCAGTTCACCTCACCAGACTGGTGCACACGATACAACTCAAAGCTGTGGGTTAGAATGGAACAAGCACTGATTGAAACACCATTGGCAGGATTGCCATGGCTTTCTGATAAGTGTGGACTATTAGTCAACACTTGCTGGTAGGAGCTACACTAAAGGAGATAAAAACTGTTTTCGCAATACGCCCATTTTCCCTTCACTGAGACCTATTATCCCAGTTTTGGGCTCATCAGAATTTCAACATAGACTTTTGGACCTACAATTCAGCACCCCCATTGCACAAGGGACTTTTCAATTATCTCACTTTTCTCATAACAATCGCCCTATGACCACATCAGAAATAGGAACTAAATACACGCCTGAGTTAGACATCTTGAGATATCTAACTCATACTGGGGGTTATTTACTAAAGCTGGAGAGGGCAAAATCAGGCTCACTTCTGCATGGAAGCCAATCAGCTTCTAACCTCAGCTTGTTCAATTTAGTTTTGGCAATAAAACATGGAAGTTGATTGGTTTCTATGCAGAAGTGAGCTTGATTTCGCACTCTCCAGTTTTAGTAAATAAATCACACTCTGTCACAGCTTTATGCCACACTCAAGAAGGAACTACGTTCAACCTGCTGTTACAGAACTGGAAAATAGATTTAAACATGTCATTTATCCAACCTTGTTCTGGTGACAACTCAAAATGTTTTCAGGAACAATCAGAAGATTCACCCATGCTCCTTGTTCTGGAGATGTTGGATTGCCTATCACTTTCTGCCGCAGTGACATTGTCCACCAGAACAAATAGAAGGGTGTCCTCAGGGGACACAGGCAGCAATAAAATGTTCACAGGTATAATAATCCACTCCAAACTAAACGTTTTGGCTTTATATGCATTAACATATCTTATAGAATGACGTACACATCAGAATAAAAGTAAACTACAACATTCAACTCACCAGACTAAATATCAGACCAGTACAAGATGGATTTAAACTGGTTCATATGGGATTCTGCACATAACTCTTTATTAACTACTTAAGGACCGCCCTATAACAGATATACTGCTACAGGGCGGCACCTTTGCGCAGAATCACGTATATATACATGATTTTGCATATCCGGGTAGGGGGAGCGTGTGAGCCACGCGCGCCGCCATTCGCGGCTGGGGATGTCAATCACCAGGTCCTGGGTGGTAATTACCCGCTGGCGCCTGGTGATTACCGAGCATCTCCGACAGGGAGGAAGATTGTTTTGTTTACAAACAATCTTCCTCCCTGTCAGCTAGAGCACACTGCTTGGGATGGCTGTGCACAGTACAGCCATCCCAATCAGTTTGCTTACAGTAAAGAACACAGCCCCAGCCCCCTAGTAAAACACTCCCAGCACACAGATAACCCTTTGATCGCCCCTCACATTAGACCTTCCTGCAAGTGCCATTAGTACAGTGTCAGTGCTTTATATTTAGCACTGATCACTGTATTGGTGTCACTGGGGATGTCAGTGACACAAAGTTAGTTCCCCCCCACAGTGTCAGAATGTCTGCCGCAGTACCACTAAAAGTCGCTGATTGCCGCCATTACTAGTAAAAAAAAAAAAACAAAAAGCCCACTATCTATACCACCATTTGTAAACGCTATAATTTTCACGTAAATCAATTAATTTACACGTATTGGGATTTAATTTTAGCAAAGACACGGAGCAGAATACATTTTGGCCTAAATTTATCAATCAGTGATCTCAAGCTCAACCTCTCCAAAACCGAGCTCCTCGTCTTTCCCCCTGCCAACACCCCCCCCCCCCATCCTATCCATCATCACCAACAACTCCACTATCACTCCCGCCCCGCAAGCCAAAGTCCTTGGCGTCATTCTTGACTCGAACCTCTCCTTCCAACCGCATGTCAAATCACTCACAAACACATGCAGGCTCCATCTTCGCAACATTGCCAAGATACGTACCTTCCTCACCCTTGACACCACCAAACTTCTAGTACACCCTCATCATCTCACGCCTTGACTACTGTAATTCTCTTCTCACCGGCCTACCAAAGTGCAGGCTCTATCCCCCGCTCCAGACCATCCTGAATGACGTCAGCGGCTAGGCTCATCCACCACATCACCACCAGCTCCACCTCTGCCACCCCCCCTCTGCCTCTCCCCTCCACTGGCTTCCGATTCTGCCCATAACGCATCAAATTTAAAACCTAAACCCTGACCTACAAAGCCGTTCACAATACTGCCCCTGACTACCTCACCAACCTGATCCCCAAGTACCCACGCGCCCGCCATACCCGTACCCTTCGCTCCTCACAGGACCTCCTTCTATCCTGCTCCCTGGTCTCCTCCTCCCATGCACGACTGCAGGACCTCCAGGTCCTCCCCCATCCTCTGGAACTCACTGCCCCAATCCATCAGACTGTCAGCCTTCCTCCCTCTTCACATTCAGGGCTCCCTCAAAACCCATCTCTTCAGGGAAGCCTACCCCACCCTCACCTAACGGCCATTAACTCCCTCTTTCCTCCGACACCCCTCATTCCCCTCAAGCCACTTCCTACTGTACCTTTACCCCTGATCCACCTAGATTGTAAGCTCGAAAGAGTAGGGCCCTCTTACCCCCGTACGTGTGTTTGTTGTTGTTGTACTGTGCCATGTATTGTCCCCCCTCTATTGTACAGCGCTGAGCAAACCCTTTGGCGCTATATAAACTCGTAGTAATAATAATAAAAATTTATGACGACATTTGAATTTTTAAATTTTTTTTACTGGACATGTTTAATAGCAAAAAGTCCAAAATATTGTTTTTTCTCTCAAAATTGTACGTCTTATTTTGCTTATAGTGCAAAAAATAAAAACCGCACAGGCAATCAAATGCCATCAAAAGAAAGCTCAATTCATGGGGAGAAGAGGACGTAAATTTAATTTGGGAGCAGTGTTGCTAGACTGCGCAATTGTCAGTTAAAGTAACGCAGCGCCGTAACGCAAAAAAAGGCCTGGTCATGAAGGGGGCGGGGGGGGTAAATCCTCAGGAGGGAAAGCGGTTAAATAAAGCTGTTTGCTCTTAAGGATAGGACTCAGGTGGCTGATGATTTGCCATAAATCAAGCTTACCACTTGCATCGCCATTCGTGCTTCCCGAGACCATCTCGGCGTCGTTGGAGTTGCTGGATGTGTGAGATCGGCTGTCAAGAGCAGCTAGTGACTGTAGCATGCTCAGCAGACTGTTGGATGTGGGAAACTGGAGGTATTTTTCTGGCACGTATCCCACTTGACCCGATTTATTCCTTGCCTGGAGGGGAAGAAAATTCAAAGTTGCCGTCACAGTGGGAAAAAAAAATTGTAGAAGCTAATTAAATCAAATCACAGCTAATCCGCAGAATGTCTTATGTTACATACACTGTACAACCCAAGTTTGCCATTTTTTATGGCAAGAATGATGAACTGCAGGGACAGCTCACTTCCCATACTGACATAAAGGCACACAAGTTGAAGGGGCTTCTTCTGATTTTACAGTTATCTTGTGAGCCATACATGGGGGATTTGACAGATTTGGGTTCTTTTAACAGCCTTTCTCTGACTGGTTCTCTTTGACTCAAGAGATACGAGTAATAGACTAGAACCTTGCATTGTCAGACAGCTGAACTGACAGGGGCGGACAACTCATGGGGCCCCCGGGCAATAGGGGATTATGGGGCCCCTGTGTCATTGCCCAAACTCAAAAAAGCCTATGAAAAAGGTACCAGGGGCATCTCATGGGGCCCCCTACTGACCCCGGGCCCTCGAGCAGTGCCTGAGTTTCCAAATGGTCAGTCCGCCCCTGCATGAGGCTCAATTCAGCAAAGCATTACACAAAGACGGGGAACTTTCTTTTCAGCTGTATAACTGCAATTCTTATATCTAACTGGATTTAGCTGAAAATAACTTTCTTTTTATTTTTAAATAAGAAACTTTACCTGGGAGTTTTAGCTTTGTAAATGGTAAATCTGGGAGTTTTAGCTTTGTAAATGGCAAATCTGGGAGTTTTAGCTTTGTAAATGGCAAATCTGGGAGTTTTAGCTTTGTAAATGGCAAATCTGGGAGTTTTAGCTTTGTAAATGGCAAATCTGGGAGTTTTAGCTTTGTAAATGGCAAATCTGGGAGTTTTAGCTTTGTAAATGGCAAATCTGGGAGTTTTAGCTTTGTAAATGGCAAATCTGGGAGTTTTAGCTTTGTAAATCATAAATCTGGGAGTTTTAGCTTTGTAAATCGTAAATCTGGGAGTTTTAGCTTTGTAAATTGTAAATCTGGGAGTTTTAGCTTTGTAAATCGTAAATCTGGGAGTTTTAGTTTTAGCTTTGTAAATTGTAAATCTGGGAGTTTTAGCTTTGTAAATGTAAATCTGGGAGTTTTAGCTTTGTAAATTGTAAATCTGGGAGTTTTAGCTTTTCAAATCAGGGAGTTTTAGCTTTGTAAATCGTAAATCTGGGAGTTTTAGCTTTGTAAATTGTAAATCTGGGAGTTTTAGCTTTGTAAATTGTAAATCTGGGAGTTTTAGCTTTTCAAATCAGGGAGTTTTAGCTTTGTAAATCGCAAATCTGGGAGTTTTAGCTTTGTAAATCGTAAATCTGGGAGTTTTAGCTTTGTAAACTGAGTCTCTTGTCTTTGGAAATCCAGAAACAAATTCTTTACCAGCCCATAAATTTAAAGAAGAATGGAAATACCTTAACCCAATCTTCCATGTCTCCGTCTTCTATAACTTCTAGCATCTCATGCTCCTCTATTGTTAGCTCATCGGGCTGTGACGCCTGGAAGAAGAGGTGAGTGATTAGAGGAGAGGCATTTATACAGAACAGACACAAGAGTTTTATCATCCTATCTATATGGCACGGCCAAAGAGGAATGGGAGGTAACCCATCACATAAAATCTATATCCTGTTTACTTTCCTTCTATACCACTCCTCTGTTGTATGATAAAGGTTATCAAAACTGACTTTTTCACCCCGTATGGCCAAGCTTTTTTTTTTTACAATATAATTTAAGAGCAATTCTGAGCATTTAAAGTACAGCAAATGTTATCCTCATGAGTGCTCCAATATCATAAGCCCTGTCTATTCCTCTTCCACAACATTCAGCGCTGTGCTGCATCTATGGACTCATTTGGGGCTTGCAGCAGGGTAGTACCTGGTCTTCTCAATGGCAATCAATCATCCAAGAACTGTGCAGAGGAAGAGGTTAATGAGGGAGCACAGGGAGTGTGGAGACAGTGTGCATCTGGGTGACTGGATGCTATAGGGTTCATTTACAAAAAACAGTGTTATGACCAGAAAATTGTTTAAAAAAATGCACTGCACATATAAAGAACAGCTAAAGCCACTGGAGCATTATTAAAAAAAAAAAAAAAAAAAAAAAAAAAACAAAAACTAGGAGGATAACCGATCTTAACCACTGCTGGGGCTACACTGATCATCAGGGCACACTGATCATCAGTGCCCTGATGATCAGTGTTCATGTCCCCTCCACGGAAAGCTGATTACCAGCTCTCCTCTCCTCTGTCAGCGTGACAGCTCGAGAGGAGAGAAATGCCGATAACCAGCATTTCCCTGTTAACATGTGATCAGCTGTGATTGGACACAGCTGATCACATGACCGAGTCGACATCTTCGGCTCTTTCCGTGATCCGCTGTGTCCGAGGGACACAGCGCACTGCTGATCGCCGCGCTGCGTGCTCCCTGAGCCGCGCATGCGCGGTGAGAATGGGAGGACATCATATGACGTCCTCCCAGAACGAGAGAACAACCTTGCGCCCGTCATTTTACTATATGGTGGACGGGAGGTGGTTAAAGCCGAAGTACAGATATGCATATTTTCCTGCAGAGTTACACTGGTAGAGATTGGACCACTGTAAGTATGAATGTGTCACCCCTGTGGGATCCATGTGCAAGCTGAAAATCACTGTAGCATGTACCGCTACAAAATGATTGGTGCTGGCGTCCAGGTCCCATGCCTCCTGTAGTGAACAGGTCACCCCCTCGGCAAGGGCACCATTTAGAGGACACGTTGCATTCTCAATGAATGCAAAGTGTTCTCTGATTGGATGATGTGGAATGGTGGGGTGGTGACATTGGATACTTTTCTTAAAGTTGTTGCAAAGGCTAAAGATCTTTTTACCTGCATTAAGGTGCTACTAAATCCAGGACCCCACATTCACTATATCTGATCTCCCACAGTACACACAACATGGAAATGCAATTATTTTACTAAATATAAAATGCTAAATTACTTTTCTCATTAGAAGTATATAGCAGTTGTTTCCAGTTGTGCACTGGTTAAAGCTTGCAGGAGGAGTTTTCATTCTCCTCTGACTGTCCTATGAGGCTTCATGACCCCTGACCCTCTGTCTGGACAGTGCTGATTGGACCTGTGCTGGTCACATGCACCTTCCACACTAAACTGAGTATGTGCAGAGTGACTCCTTGAGCTCCAATGTGGGGGACAGTAGAAGAAGGGGCGGATCAGAGAAGATAGGATCAAACAGTCTTTTTACACAATGCAGAGGATTAATCCCTTAGGTTCCACGGTGACTATAACAAGCATGCTTTACAGCATAACGGATTTTACTGTTGTGGGTTTAGTAACATTAAGTTTAAAAAAACAAAAACAAAAAACCCCCACCTTTTTGGTTGCAGCTCCTCTCCTGCCCTCCCTAAATACTTATCTGAACCCAGTCTTGATCCAGTGCTGTGGCCTCATTGGATTCCATGGCTCATGCTGCTGTCAATCAAATCCAGTGATGAAGGGGCAGGGCTAAACTGCACTGTGTGTGTCAATCGACACACACAGGGCAGCTTTGTCTGGAGCCCGCATTAGTAACCCCCCTAGCAAGCAGTCTGCTGGGGGGATACTTGGAAGAACATTAGGAGCCAGGAGCACCAGCAGGGGACCTCAGAAGAGGAGTATAGTGACTGCAAAACCATTGCACAGAGCAGGTAAGTATAATATATATATATATATATATATATATTAAAAAGAGAGATCTTTTACAATCACTTTAAGGTTCCTTTTTTATTTTTCAATTCTTTCCCCAATAATGCATCATTTTATACATTTGTCTATTTTGCTACACTTCCATAATGTAACTTTGTATTCCAAACTTTAATCAACTGCTGACAATTTTAGCAAGTTGAGAATGAAATTGTGCAATGTGTTGTAATTTTAGTTAGTTGATCAAACTTTATAAACAGAACCCAGGTATCAGTCCATTTCCCAGATCTAAGCTATGCAAGGCCCCTGATCTCTATGACAGTCTGGCACCAACCTGGTATGAGTAGATGACCTTGCAGGTTAGCGGATAATTCCTTAGTGTTCCAGAAGGACTTGAGCTGCTGTCATCGAAGGCATCCATACTGTCTTCCAGCTCTTCACCATCGTCTCTCTCCAGATCTGGATTTCCCTGGATTTGTTAACAAACCAACAGACGATTAAATGGAATCCAAAACACACTTTCAGTGACAGGTGCATTGAGCGAACAAAGTAAACCAAATGCCATCCATTCACAATTAAGGACACCACAAGGCACTAATGCACACAACACGAGGTACTCCAGTGAAATGGACCTTAAAGGCCCCATGTACACGGGACACCTCTGAACGATGGAAACTGACTGCTGGAAAACGTAGGTTAAAAAACGTCTGTTTAGCCTCGTTTGCATAACGCGTTTATGCACTTTTGCGTTTTTTAATGATAAGCACAGAAGAACCTCCCAAATGCCCAGAATGCACTGAAAAGTGGTAAATTATTAACTATTTCAGACTGTTTCAGAGAAATACAGAGAGTAGAAGCAGAGACAGCAGTATGTGTTGAGATTAGCTTAGGTGTGAGTTGCTCATTAACATATCTTTTGTTTCCAAGGGTGGGATAGGTGTCTGGTGGAGGGAGTCATTAAGGTCACCTGGCAGGGGGTCTTCATGAGGAATTTGAGGTGTGAATTGGTCATTACAATCTTTTGTTTCCAAGGGTGGGAGACAGGTGTGAATTGGTCATTACAATTGGACAAGCTTGGTAGGAACATCCTGTGTTCAGTGTTTTGTTCAATTGAATACCTTGAAAACGATTTGCTTGCATTTTTCATGATAAAAAAAGGCTCTGGACAGCATCGGGAACTGGGAGAGTTAAAACATTTTTTTCAAATGCAAACGCTTATAAACGCGATTTGCCGCATTTACAAGCATTTTGCATTTGAAACACTGATAAAATCGACTGCTGAACGCAAGTTTTCTGTGTTCAAAAAAACGACTAAGCTCAAATGCCTGTAAACGACTCTGTGTACATGGACACATAGGAAAACATTAGGGTGAGTTCAGGAGCTGATGAAAAAAACGCAGAACAGCTCCTAAATGTGAGTTTATCAGCTGCAGTGGACATGGGCCTTAAGGGTCTCTGTTGCTGTCTATCAATTATGTTCCAATGCGGTAACCCTCATCTTACACCCTGACCCTGTCACTATTTGGAAACACGCCTCGAGAAATGCCATGCTAGAGTGCATACAGGCGGGAAGTGTTCGCAAAGAGGCTGCAGGAGAGCAGTAGCACTAAGGGTGCAACAAGGGTGACAAAAAAGGTGAAACAGTATTTTATTTAAAAGATAACCAAACAACACACAATGAGATTTTAGACAGTTGTCATCAGAACAGGTTTCCATATTGGTAAATATCCCTTTATTCCTGGTTTAGTGACAACTGTAAAATTGCAGATTTCGCTTTCAGTTTATTTCTCAACAACAGTGGTCACAAGGACAAACGGAGACAGAGAATATCTCTAATGGGGATACGGATGGCCATAAAAACTTGACAGAGGTGTGAAGGTTCACCAGCACATTAAGGCTTTTCACCAATACATTAAAAAAATCTATAAAAAAAATTTGGTTTTGCACACTTTAAAGCGGTAACAAGGGTTCAACTTTTTTTTTAAATGAACAAACATGTGATACTTACCTTCTCTGTGTAATGGTTTTGCACAGAGCAGCCTGGATCCTTCTCTTCTTGGGTCCTCCTCCTTCCTCTCAGGTGCCCTCATAACAAGCTATGGGGGAACCCGAGCAGGCGCGCTCCCAAGCCGCTTCTCCGTGTGTCCATTCACACACGGAACTATGGCATGACCCCCTCCCCCCTGTCTCCTCATTGGCTCACTGGCTGTGATTGACAGCTGTGAGAACCAATGGCTCAGCCGAGGTTCTTGTGCACATCACTGGATCGTGATGAGGCTCAGGGAAATATTAGGGGGGCTGGGGGCACGGCTGCACACAGGTTTTTTACCTTCATGGCATGACCCCGCCCCGTCTCCTCATTGGCTCACTGGCTGTAATTGACAGCTGTGGGAACCAACGGCTCAGCAGACGTTCTTGTGCACATCACTGGATCATGATTAGGCTCAGGGAAATATTAGGGGGGCTGGGGGCACTGCTGCACGAATGCATGAAGGTAAAAAAACCTGGAGCCTTTACAACCAATTCATATATACATACTGTATGTTACATCTTCATTTTATACCTTTACTCTTACTACTAAATTTACAAGTTTCTAAACATTTCATTTATCTCCTTAAAGCTTGACTATTTTTAAGCTTTCTGCTGCTAGCATTAGTAAACAGGTGGGAAGGTATTTTATATTTACTTTTTTACATCTTCAGTTACTCCTTAGTTTCTATGCCATGGGCAATTGATGTCATACATCCCAGGAGTCTTCAGGAGGGGAAGAGGGAATGTCTCAGCTAGGAAAACCCACCTGCCTGCATGCCTGTGCTAAGGGCAGATGGATTCCTGGAAGTAAATGCTACAAGAATCATCTGCCCTTACTTAACCCCTTCACGCCGGATCGTCCCGGTGTGAAGAGGAGTTCCTGCGCTGGGAGGTAGGCGGGACGGGGCGGGGCTTAGTGTTATTTGGCCGTCGTGACGTCACATGAGCGGGAAAGGTCCCAATCGAAAGAGCGGACCGGGACCTTTCCATGAGTACCACATGTGTGCTGAGAGCGAGCAGCAGGGCGCGTGCTCTCACCACATATGTTTTTTGTTACATGAACGCAAATGTGCGGCCGCTCGGAGTCTAGGCCCAGACGCCGCACATTTGCGTGCGGCCGGTGTGAAGGGGTTAAGATGGCCACGGCTACAAAATGCTTTGGTGGGGCTTTTCAAAGCGGTTTCTCACCAAAATAAAACATGGAGGCATGGATGGGTGAGTTTGCTTTGAATATTATAAATGAATTAAAAAGCATTTTTGGTTTGTAATGCTCAAGTGCAGTGTAGTTCTGCTTTAAAGTCATATTTCAGTAAACATTGTCCAGCTATGCTACAAAAAGCACAATCCTTCCAAAGAAGTGTCTCAGCATGTGTTGATCTGAGGAATATGTGGTTGCTAAGATATTTATTTTTGCAAGAGTTTGAATGGCACACATAGAAAAAAAAGCTACAGCCAAAAAAACCCATGCTAATGGGTCACTGACCTAGATATGCAGGACAAGCTTCAGAGTCTGCTGCCTGAGCGCTTTAGATGCAAGGCGAGCGATCACAGTAACAAAGCCAGCACCCTCATAAACAAGTGAGGAAAGGTACCCCCCCCTTTAAACCCCTTCCCTCCTGCTATCTGTAGATGAACATTCCCATGCATAAAGCTGAAGGCACATTAAAGGAATTCTAAACTAATTATTTTTAATAACAAAGAAGTTCTACTTTCCTGCGTTGTGCAATGGTTTTGCACAGAGCAGCCCCAATCCTCTTCTTCCGGGGGTCCCCTGCCAGCATGCCTGGCTCCTCCTCTTTGGTGAGTGCCCCTATAAAAAGCCACTTCCTATAGGGGGCAATCGTGCATGCATGATCCCAAGCCCCGCTGCCTGCGTCTATAAACACAGACAGCGTGACTCGGCCACGCCGCCCGCAGCCTTGTCACAGGATTTGATTGACAGCAGCAGGAGCCAATGGCTCCTTCTGCTATCAATCTGCCCTGTGAGGAGGGGGGGAGTGTGTAGAGAGCCACTGCTCTTGGGCACAGAGCTAGACTGAGATTGGGCTCAGGTAAGTATTTAGGGGGGGCATCCTCATTACAAAAGGTTTTTACATTAAGAATGCATTAAAGGTAAAAAACCTTAAGCCTTTCTAATCACTTTTAGCAATGTCTCATTTACAGATAGCAGCCAACACTGTAAGATCAGGAAGAAAGGGGCGGCGCCCTCTAAGTGCAGTATAAAAAGGTAAAAATGTATAGTAATACAGACCACTCACAAGGGTAAGAAGATGAGCTCTTGCTGTCTAAAAAGCATCTGCTTATGGTGAACGAGTGTGGAGCCTCTGGGCAAGTGGGGAAAAATATATTACTGTACATTGTTGTACTGTACAGCGCTGAGTGAACTATTGGCGCTTTATAAATACTGTAATAATAATAATAATTGTTACCTAATAAAAGCTTTTATACTGCACTTAGAGGGCACCACCTCTTTCTTCCTGATCTTCCACAGGGCCTCTCTAGCTTGTCATTGGCTGGCTGCCCCCATCCCATGGTGCATTAGAACTACTTCAAGGACTATTAATACAAGGACTTTTATTACACATAATTATTATTCCTTTAATATTTATATGTTTGCACATATGTATATTATCACCAGGGGTGGACTGACCATTTGGAAACTCAGGCACTGCTCGAGGGCCCGGGGTCAGTAGGGGGCCCCATGAGATGCCCCGGTACCTTTTTCATAGGCTTTTTTGATTTTGGGCAAGGACACAGGGGCCCCATGATCCCCTATTGCTCGGGGGCCCCATGAGTGTGTCAGTCCGCCCCTGATTATCACATGTATATTTTCCTTTGAAGTCTACTCTTATCCACTTTTGCTGCATGTACCATCTTAACCCCGTCTTGGAGTGTGCCAAATACCCAATTTGCCGATACTGTAAGAGGCTGCTACCAGTCAGACCCAGCTGTCTCTGGCACCTCCTTTCCCCATTAATAATCCAAAACCAGTCAGAGTGGTTCCCAATCATGTAACCTTGATGTTCAATTTCACATAGCATAGCACCCAGGTGTATTTTAAAAATGCCTCTGTTTAACAATCTAATTGTCAGATACAACTGGTAAAAAGGAAAAAGCAACCGAATGCCTGAGCTCCTGCGATGGACAGTGGACTCCACAATGCCAATATCCCCACATGTGTATGAAAGGAATGCAAGCCTTGCTGCCCTCAACGGACCAGGGAAATACAAAGAGAACTGTATATGAAAAGACAGAGTGGCTCCCAATCATGTAACCACGATGTTCAATTTCACATAGCATAGCACCCAGGCTTGTTTAAAAAAAATGCAGTCTGCCTCTGTGTAGCCTCCCTGGCAGTCTGATTATGTCCATATTTCTGTGCTCAAAGCGGTACATTTTTTTGCATGGAAAGATGTTCTTTTTTTTTATTGTAGGCTG